GAATACTGGGGAAAAATGGGGAGGGAAACACCTGGGAAAACCAGGGGGCAAAACACCGGGGAGATGGCCAGGGGAACCCTGCTGCCAGGGGGATGAAAACACCTGKGATAGGGGGGATTCTACCCGCCCCTGGGGGGGCATTTGGGGGAAAACACCCAGATTAGGGGGTGGGACCCACATCCCTGGTGGAGGAGGTTGCAGGGGGTAAATAGTCGGGTTGGAGTAAAAATGGCTTTGGTAGGGGGAGAAACACCTGGTTTGGGGCGGTTCACAGGCATCCCCATTGGCTGTTTCCCCAAGCTCCACCGCCTCCCAGGGCCCCTCCTCACCRTGACATCACTCCCTATCCCTCCCAGGGCCACCTGGGGACTCTGGCCCTGCACCCCGATGGGCGCCGAGTGCTGGAGGCCGCCTGGGCCGCCGCCCCTGGCCCTACCCGTGCAGACATGGCTGCCGAGTTGGGTAAGCCCTGCTCCCCGCCCTGGCCATGTTGTCTCCCTAGTGTCCACGTTGTCRCCCCCGCGGCCATGTTGTCTCACCATTGGCCATTTTCCCCCCTGCCCCCATCATGGCGGCAGCATCGCAGCTGCAGGAGCTGCAGCGGGACCTGAACGGCCGCCGCGTCGCCCACGCCTGGAGCCTCCAGCTCTTCCTGCGGAACCGCCACGAGTGGCTGCGGCGCTACGGCCGCCCTGGCACCACAGAGACACCATAGAGATGCCAAAGATACCATAGAGACACCATAGAGATGCCAGAAATGCCATAGAGACTCCAGGAGACACCACAGATATGCCAGGAGATACCACAGAGATGCCAAAGCATAGAGACACTTGGCGACGCCAGAGAGACACAATAGCGATGCTGGAGACACCATAGAGATGCCTGGAGGACCTGTGGGGAGCACACAGTGCCAACTATGCGTCTCATCTGCACTAGGGGGGCAACCATAGAGTCCCTGGAGGACTGATCATAGAGACCTTGGAGGACTCTGGCATCTACGGAGTGACTATAGAGCCTTTAGAGGACTGGTCTCTAAAGAGCAACCATAGAGATTTTGGAGGAGTGAGTGACCATAGATACCTTGGAGGACTAATCATAGAGTCCTTGTAGGACTCCAGCCTCAATGGAGCAACCATAGAGTCCCTGGAGGACGAGGACCGAGCGCCACAGAGGAGCCCTCCAGGCCCCTTCTGGCTGTGACAACCATAGAGTCCTTGGGCCGAGGAGGCTCCACGGGCGACACTCTGGTCACCCTTCCCCAGCCTTGTCTGCTCCTGTGCCCTTTTTTGTAATAAAATGACCCCATTTTCTGACATTTCTGCCCCATTTTCCTCCCTTGGGGGGGCGGAGCTTGTTCCCTTTCACACTTCCCCTTACTATGCCTCCCCTTCCCCCCCCCCATGCCGCCATTTTGCTGCAGAGGTGAGTCTTCCAAGCCGCACAATTGGTGTTTGGACACTTTTTATTGGAGGAATGGGGTGGAGGGGGTGGGGCCACAGCAGGGGGCGGGGCCAGGAGGCATCGTGCCCCTCTCAACATGGTGGCAGGGGCAGGGGTGCTGGTGGAGGCCACGCCCACCATGCCACCATCCTGCGGCACATCAAACATGGTGGACAAACATGTGGTGCGGCACATCAAACATTTGGTGCCACCAAACATGGTGGCAGCAGCGCAGCCAAGATGGCAGCGCGCAAGGGCACAGCAGCCAAGATGGCAGCGCCCAGCTCCAGCACCAGGTCAATAAGAACAGTGCATGCAAATGAAGAGGTGGGAGGGGGGAGCCRCGGTGTGCACCTGCACGCTCAGTGCACTGCCATTGGCCAAGTAAGAAAAGGGGCGGGGAGAAAGCGACGCAAGATGGCRGAAGTGGCGGTGGGAGGGCGGCGCTTCAAGTGGGCGCTGGAGCTGCAAGGGGCAGCAGGAGGACGGTGGCCGCGGGGCCAAAAAGGGCGGGGGCTGCTCACGTACCCCTCTGATTGGCTGGCCTTCGTGGCMTCACCCCAGGTGCGCACTGGGGGGACACGCCCCTTCAACGGGACACGCCCACTGGGGGCAGGGTGGGGGTGGCTCCTCTCCTGGGCCTTAGGGTGGGGCGGAGGTTGTTCGGGATGGAAGAGGGGGGCCAATGGGTGCCCTAATAAAGGCACCAAGGAGCAGGGCTGTTTTTTGGGGTGATTTCTGATGTTTTTGGGACGTGTCACTTTTGGGGGGAATCGGAGATGTTTGGAGGTAAATTTGGGTCTGTTCGGGGCCTTTTGGGCATGCCCTCTGGGGGCAAAACCAGAGCCCTTAAGTGGGTGAAGGTGAATTCAGGGTCTTTTGAGGCAAATTCTGCCTGTTCTGGGACCACCGAAATCCCCTGTCCCAACCCTGTCCTTTTTTTGCCTCAAAACTGGCCCCGTTTGGGCTTCACCCCTGCCCGGGCCTCCGAGCGCAGCTGGGCCCCTGGGGCTTCTGGGCTTTCGTGGGGCCTCCCCGGGCCTGTGTGTGCAGCTGGGCCCCTGGGCCCTCTGGGCTTTTGCACAGCCTACCCAGGCCTCCGTGTACACCTGGCCCCCTGGACCCTGCGTCCATTTGTGCGGCCTCCCCCGGAGTTTGTGCACAGCTGGCCCCCCAGGCCCTGCGGTCATTTGGGCGTCCTCCCYGGGCCTCCGTGCTCACTGGGCCACCTGGGCCCTGCAGTCATTCATGCATCCTCCCCGGGCCTCTGTGCGCAGCTGGCCCACSGGGCCYTGCGTCCATTTGCGCGGCCTCCCCGGACCCTCCATGCGCAGCTGGCCGCCCAGGCCCTGCTGTCATTCATGCGGCCTCCCYGGGCCTCCGTGCGCACCTGGATCCCGGGACCGTGCATCCATTTGTGTGGCCTCCCCGGGCCTCCGTGCGCACCTGGCCCCCTGAACCTTCGTCCATTTGTGCGGCCTCCCTGGGCCTCCAACCGCAGCTGGTCCCCCAGGCCGTGTGGTCATTCGTGTGGCCTCCCTGGGCCTCCTTGTGCACCTAGCCCCTGGAGCCCTGCGTCTAATTTGGGCGTCCTCCCCAGGCCTCACTGCGCACCTGGCCCCCCAGGCCCTGCGTCCATTCATGCGGCCTCCCCGGGCCCCCGTATGCAGCTGGACCCCCAGGACCCTGCGTCTATTCGGACRGCCTCCCCGGGCCTCCGTGCACACCTGGCTCCCTGAACCTGCGGTCATTCGTGCAGCCTCCCCGGGYCTCTGTGCGCACCTGGCTCCCCATGCCCTGTGTCCATTCGGCGGCCTCCCTGGGCCTCCGTGCACAGCTGCCCCCAAAGGCCCTGCTGTCATTCCTGTGGCCTGCCCCGCCGCCCAGCCAGCGAGCCGGTCGCATGTGCCCCCCACCCCAGCCGGCCAGCGAGCCGGGCGCATGCGCAGTAGGGCCTACCTGCACCAGCACATGCCGCGTACGAGGCCACGAGGCGGCGCCGCCTGCTGCCCTGTCCAGCTGCTGCTCTGTGCGCGGCCGCCTCCGAGCGCGGCGGCCTCTGAGCACGGCCGGACCGTGCTGCGCGGCCGCCTCCGAGCGCGGCCGGACCGTGCTGCGCGGCCGGACCGTGCTGCGCGGAGCCGCAGAGCTGCGCCTGCAGCCCGCAGTGAAACACCCCCACTTGGAACAGCCACGCCTTGAAACATCAGCTGCATTTGAAATATATATACATACACACACACATAAATATAAAACACTCATGTATATATTCTAATAGCAACATATATTTTACTACCTCCATCTATTACTGACATTAGTAGACACACTAATATGTTTAAGCCCACAAGAGGAGCACAAAAGAAGCCACAAAGGCCCAAGGCCTTGACCACACAGGAAATAAAACCTCCAAGGGATTTAGGAATGTGCCATAGCCCGGAGCGGCGGCCCAAGAGCCCTGCATCAGAGGGAAACATTCCACGTTCTTCCGGCCATTCCTGTGGGTTCCTTATGGCAACTACCAACCACAAAGCTCGGATCAGAACACTCCTTGCTGGGGGGGAAGAAAGGAACACCTTAGACTTCCCGAGCTCTTCAGTCCAGTGATCGGAGGTTCTTACCACGAAGAGCTCCTGCCCTCCCGCATATCCATCAAGATTCAGCAGTCCTGTCCTGTCAGGGTCTCTGAAACCTGTCGCTTTTGGAAATCAAAACATCCTGAATAAACTTCTTAATGCCAGTGTTGTACTATATATGTATTAGATAGTATTACATCTCATAAGGCTTCCAGCCATTTCCCTAAGAAACATTGTATTCAAATGGAAACACACACCCCAGGTGCCAGCCCGCACAAGCCGCACACATTAAATGCAGTGATAGATCCCCAAAATCAATTCCAGGAATCCAAGAACACACTGATGCTGACAACTCCCCATACAACATGGGGGCAATTCCACAGCCGCATGCATTCCACTGACAGGCTACACACACAGCACCTGCGGCACAGAAGACACGGCCAGACAAGCGGTGCTGCAGCAGCACAACCTGGCAGCTCTGTGGCTCCCCGCAAGCCCCARGTTAGTCAAATGTCACTGACTCTGGGAGAAAAGGGCTCACAAAGCCGAGATCAATGCGGAGAAGCTAGGGAAAAAAAAGACCCAAGGCACRGACAACAGAGGAAGCAGAGCAGAAGAGGCCACCTGGGAGGCATGAGAGGGTTCTCCACAGCCCGTGGCACCACTCTGGCCCACCATGTCCTCCACCCCATTGCCACAGGAGGCCACCATTCCTGGCCCTGGGTCAGCTTCCCTATCCTAGGGGAGCGGGCTGCATTGCCTGAGTTCCCCGGCACGAGCAGGACCCCCAGCCCCACTCACACCCCATGTCTTTGCTAACCTCCTGCGGCACCGGGCCCAGCAGCAGCTGTCAGATTGCAGAGCAGCTCCAACAGGGGCCTGGGCCTCCCTCCACTTCCACCTCAGCCACAGGCTGTGCCCACCCACGGCCTTTAGCTCCCAGCCCCACCTGTGACTCATCCCAGCCTCAGGGCCGGCAGCTGCCGCCCTTCACCAAATGGGATGGGGCCACGAGCCCCATCAGGGACAGCTGGGGTGGCCGGGGCAGCAGAGCCGGCCCCACCGCAGMCTGGTGGGAGCTGAGAYCAAGCCCTGGCCCYGGGCACAGGGACAAAGGGGCAGCCAGGGTGGTCGGTTCCCAATGGCCCCTTTGTGCTGCAGGACAGGATGATCCTGTCAAGGACGGCCCCTGTCCCACAAAAGGAGTCACTGTGTTTGTGTCATCACCAACATCCCTCCTTGCACAAAGGAGGAGCACTTCGTCACATCCCAACTCAACTAGGGTTTAAAGTTAACCTTTGGCTTTCAGTGTCGGAATGGCTTCTCCCTGGATGCAGTGGGGTGCAAGGGAGGACTCTGCCCTCGGGTCCACATGCTGTCTGAAGAGGAGACTCCTGGAGCTTGCAAGACCTCTCCCATCTTCTTGAGGGGTGGTTATTGCACATTGGTACATTGGAGCTAGCCAAGAACTCCACGGGGTAGTGGAGAAATTCCTGTGCAGACATCCAAAACCTGCTTTGTAAAAGTTACACTTGAATAATTCGTGCTAACTGTGAACTTGACTGTTTGGTTTAAATGCAGTCAGACCTATAGCTGACAGACTGTGAATCTGGTGCAGCCACAGTCAGGGCCTACAGCTACCACACTATTGGGTAACCCCATTAAGAGAGGAATACAGCCACCTGYGAGCATCTTCTGGAAGCCAAGAGGATTAATCTCTTCCTGAATTTGCTCCCCTTTCAAACCGAAACATCAAGCAACAAGAAACACAAAGCTTGTGGTGTGCTGCAAAGCCAACGCAGGGCCCCAGGGCGCACCAAGAGCTTGGGGCAACCCAGGAGGGTTCCCGAAGTGGGTCCCGAAGAGAGAATTGAGGGGTGCAGAGGGCAGTGCAGGGCAAACACAGGGCTCTGGAGCAGAGCAAAGGAAAGACCTCGGTGCTCACTAGAGTGCTCAGAAGGCGCCCGCCGGCACTTGCTCACCTGCAGACACACAAGCACCGCTATGGAGGGTGGAGAGAGAATCCAGGAGTGCTTCCACAGAGCTCACCCAGCTCTGCAGGGGCCTGGGCTGCCCTAGGGGAGCAGAACCCGCTAGTTGGTGTCTTTATAAATAAGGGAGCTACTCCACACTCTTTGGCTGATGAGTGGGACAAAGGAATATAGGCAGGGGGAGGACTGAGCAGASCCAAGAGTCAGTGCTCTTTCAAATGAGGGAACTTCTTTGGCAAGGGACAAAGAAGTCAGCTGAGAACAGGAAGGAGGCAGTGGGTTCATACAGGTGGCCAAGAAGTCTGTAACTTCTGACTGCCTTGGCCAATGGGGAAAAAAAGAGGGCCTACCTCAGCTGGGAGATGAGGATAGGAGGAGGCTGTGTCCACCARCAATTTGGACAGAGTATGTCCCAGTGGATGCTCCCTTTCTTTATTCAAATAAATATTTAGGACTCCTCTCCTTTGTGGACATTCATTTCTTGACAGCAAGGCTTTCTGCACACCAGGATGATGGAAACCACCCCCAAGAACCCCAGAGATCCAGGCAAATGCAGAAGAAGTTCCCCACAGCTCTGCAAACAGTACCAGGCTCCCTGCAAACCAGAGACACTTGGGGACCAGCTCCCAGCTCCTGTCAGAGTAYGCAGAGTCAGAGATCCTGCCCTGGGCATCAGCTTCACCCAAAGCCACACCAGGAGCCTCAGAGATAGGAATGAAGCAACTCCTTGATGTTCCACGGGGCAGAAACAACACTGGAAATGGACGCTGCCTTGGAGCCCCATGTCAGCATCACAGGATCATAGAATCCTTAAGGTTGGAAGGAACCTCGGAGATCATCTAGTCCCATCTAGGGCAGATGTTCCAGGCCCCCTCATCATCCTCGTAGCCCTGTGCTGGACTCTCTCCAGCAGCTCCACCTCCCTCTTGTGCTGGGGAGCCCAGAACTAGACACAGTCTCCAGACGTGGCCTCACCAGAGCTCAGTAGAACAGGCTGATCACCTCTCRACCTGCTGGAGACACTCTTCTTGAGGCACCCCTGGATCAATCCCGTTGGCCTTCTTGGCCACCGGGGCACACTGCTGCCTCATGGTCACCTTGTCATGCACCACGATGCCCAGGTCCCTCTCTACAGGGCTGCTCTCCA